GTATATCGCGCTATGCTGGTAGAGGAGCACAGCGGTGTGCAGGCCACTACAAACCAGCAGTGGGCCTCAGAGGACTGAATTGCGGGCAGCTGTGGTAGTTTCCAGACTCCTCAATCCACCAATGCCAAAGACAACTTAGAAGGTCAGTGGGAAAAGTCTGTTTCTATGGTGCTGAGAGAGGAACGCAGGGTCTCAGCTCCATTCCCCAGCAGCGTGGCTCTGACGGGAGAGCTGACTCCTGAGCTTCCAGCCCACAGATTGAGGAGCAATCCAGTGGCTGATCAGAGAGGGATTGCACAGATCTCTTTGCCAGTGCTGAGGCAGGAATCTCTTGCTTTGACTGTGCTTGGATCTGGGTCACAGTTCTGGGTGGCGGTGCTGGGGTGAGGAGGAACACTGGTGTGGTGGAGCTTGTAGTGGCTGTGCAGAGAAACCCCTCCTCACAGTTACAGGACAGAAAGGAGTACTTGTGGTCACAGGCCAGGAAAGGAGTAAACACCTCACCCCTTATCATACCACCTTGGAAGAACTGAAAATTTACAGGTCCCTACAAGTATCTCTGAAAACAGCTACACAAACCCCTGAAGCTTGGGACAGTACATTCTCCACATTGGAAGCAGACTCTTACCTTAACAAAGAGTTTAAAACTCAAGTAATTGGCTGGGACAACAAGAGTCAGACTATATTATCTTACTTTGGTGAAAAAGAAGATCAAAATATACAACCAGAAGAAGACAACAAAGTCAAAACTCCTACATCCAAAGCCTCCAAGAAAAATATGAATCAGTCCCAGGCCTTGGAAGAGCTCAAAAGGGATTTTGAGAAGCAAGTAAGGGAAGTAGAGGAAAAACTGGGAAGAGAAATGAGAGTGATGCAAGAAAATCATGAAAAACAAGTCAACAGCTTGCTAAAGGAGACCCAAAAAAATACTGAAGAAAATAACACCTTAAAAAATAGCCTAACCCAAATGGCAAAAGAGGTCCAAAAAGCCAATGAGGAGAAAATGCCCTAAAAAGAAAATTGGCCAAATGGAAAAGGAAGTCCAAAAGATTACTGAAGAAAATACTTCCTTAAAAATTAGAATAGAGCAATTGGAAGCTAGTGACTTTATGAGAAATCAAGACACTGTAAAACAAATCCAAAAGAATGAAAAAATAGATAGCAATGTGAAATATCTCATTGGAAAAACAACTGACCTGGAAAATAGATCCAGGAGAGAGAATTTAAAAATTATTGGACTATCTGAAAGCCATGATCAAAAAAAGAGCCTAGACATCATCTTTCAAGAAATTATCAAGGAAAACTGCCCTGATATATTAGAACCAGAGGGCAAAATAGAAATTGAAAGAATCCACAATCTCCTCCTGAAAGAGATCCCCAAAGGAAAACTCCTAGGAATATTATAGCCAAATTCCAGAGTTCCCAGGTCAAGGAGAAAATATTACAAGCTGCCAGAAGGAAACAATTCAAGTACTGTGGAAACACAATCAGGATAACACAAGATTTAGCAGCTTCTACATTAAAGGACCAGAGGGCAAAGGAGATAGGATTACAACCAAGAATCACCTACCCAGCAAAACTGAGTATAATCCTTCAGGGGAAAAAATGGTCATTCAGTGAAATAGAGGACTTTCAAGCATTCTTGATGAAAAGACCAGAGCTGAATAGAAAATTTGACTTTCAAATACAAGACTCATGAAGAGGTAAACAGAAAAGAGAAATCATAAGAGACTTATTAAGATTGAACTGTTTACATTCCTGCATGGAAAGATGATATTTATAACTCATGAGAAGTAGTAGTAGTTAGGTAGGTAGAAGATAGATAGATAGATAGATAGATAGAAGGGCACAGGGTGAGTTGAAGATTAAGGGGTCATATCTGGAGAATAAAATTAAGGGATGAGAGAGGATTATACTCAGAGAAGAAGAAAGGGGGAGTTAGAATGGGGTAAATTGTCTCACAAAAAAAAACAGAAAAGAAAAGTCTCTTACAGTGGAGGGGAAACGGGGAAGGTGAGAGGGAATGAGTAATCTTATTCTCATAGGATTTGGCTTAAGGAGGGAATAACATACACATTCAATTGGGTATGGAAATCTGTCTTACCCTACAGGAAAATAGGGAGAAGGGACAAGAGAGCAGGGGATGATAGAGAGGAGGGCAGATTGGGAAAGGGGTAATCAGAAGCAAATACTTCTGAGGAGGGACAGGGTCAAAAGAAAGAATAGAATAAATGGGAGGGCAGGATAGGATTAAGGGAAATAGAGTTAGTTTTTCACAACCTGTCTACTATGGAAGTGTTTTGCGTAACTGCATATGTATAACCTATATTGAGTTGCTTACTTTTTCAATGAGGTGGGTGGGGAGGGAGGAAGGGAAAAAATTTGAAACCTAAAGTTTTAAAAACATATGTTTAAAAAATGTTTTCACATGCTACTGCGAAATAAGAAATACAGGAAATGGGGTACAGAAGTCTATCCTGCCCTACAGGAAAATAGAAGGGGAAGGGGATAAGAGGAGGGGAAGAGATAGAAGAGAGGACAGACTAGGGGAAGGGATATTCAGAATGCATACCATCTTGGGGTGGGGGAGGGGTGAGATGGGATGAAAATTTGGAACTCAAATCTTGTGGAAGTAAATATTGAAAACTAAAAATAAATAAATTTATATTTAAAAAAAAACCAAATCAATACATATTTATACAAAGACAAAAATAAAACAGCTCTTTTTGCCAAGAAGGTTATTTAAAAGAAGAGGGTTGAAGAGGGAAAGTAGAAGGAGGTATAACAATTACACAGATAAGGAAATACAAAATATATACAAAGTCATTGTATGGAGGTGGGGAAAAATACTAAAAAATTGGGATATCAGGAAAGGTCTCACATAGGAGGAGGTAGAGATGAGGAGACAGAACGTTACAGTTTTGGGAGATAACTTGTGCAAAGGCACAGAAAGGCAAATGAATAGGAAAGTCCAAATAGGCTAGTCTGGGTAAGATAAAGGGTAAATAAGGAATCAGAGTGGAAAGATGGCCAGACAGTTAAGGGTTTAAACGCCAGAGGAGCCTGTGTTTCATTCTGTAAGTAACAGGACATCCCTGTAGTTTCTTGAGCAAGAGAGCGATGTGATCAGTCCTATGTTATAGGAATGTAACCCTTTGCCTGCCCAAGTAAATAAAAGGTGTCTGGAGGAGCCTATGCTGGCAGCATATTCGTAATCTCAAAGGAGCAGAGAGATCTGTTCAGGCAAAGTATGTAAGGCCACAATTCCAAAGAACTCATAATTAAAAATGCTATACACCTCCAGCAAGAGAACTGACTGATGAACTGTTAGTGTAGACTGAAGATTTTTTTCACTTTTTAAATTTTTCTTGCTTTTTTTTTCTGCCAAGTGGCTAATGTGGAAATATGTTTTGCATGACTTCACATGTATAATGGGTGTCATATTGCTTCCCTTCTCAATGGGTGGGAAAGAGGAGGGAAGGAAGGAGAGAAATAAAATAAAATAGACATTTTTATTTAAATAAAAATGAATAATAATTAATATGGATGGGGGACAAATGAAGATAAACAAATTTTAAGTAAATAAAAAATGAATGCAAAAAAGCAAAAAAAAAATATGAGGGAGGTAAACAAGAGGATGAAAAGACACCAGTAAAAAACTCAACAGCAACATTATTTCAGTTATTTCAGTGTGATCCTATTCATGTAGAGCAATAGGTAGCAGGAGGACTTTTTTAACATATTTGCAATTATTTCTTAGATACATGATTTGTTTAAAGTAAGCAATATGTGAAACGCTATACAAAATACAGAAGACACAATTCCTTTTCATATCTTACATTCAACAGGCAATCTACATAATACAAGTACAAAATATTTAAAATATGGACATTAATCTCAGCAAAAGCCAAATAACAAATTAGTGCAAAAATCTACAAGTGTCCTTCAGTGGTGAAGGAGGAAAGGGAGAAAAATGATACTGATATGGAGTTGGTAGAACAAATGAAAAGTTTTAAATATTTGGGAAAAGACACTTTTTGGGAAAATGTTGAGATCCTTGAAAATCAATACAGTATATTGATCAAACTGCAGTTAAGAGGACAAAAAAGAATGAAACTTTTAGAAATATTAAAAATACACTAGGTGAAGAGGCAGCCTGGCATAGCCGAAATTAATATAGATTTTCACTTACCCAGTGTGCTAACTTTATGACCTTGGAAAACTCATGTCACCTCCCTGAAACTTAGTTATCTCATTTGTAAAATAAGGACAGCAATAACTGCCCTCTATACCTCACAGGGTTGCTTTGAGGAACAAATTATTTAATGTGTGTGAAAATGCTTTGAAAACTATAAAACACAGTACAAATTTAAGGTTACTATTAGAATAATATCCTCACGATCCAAAAATAACCAGAGGAAACTTTTCAACATGTTGAATAGATGCTCTATAGGAGATTTACAGTAAAAACTAAGAGGAGGTTTTTAAGGGCTGAAAGGACACTGAAAGGTTTTGATCTTTATTAATGGAAGAAACACCCCATAAAGAAAATCACCAACCATTTTAAGGACTGCTATTTGAGGGTGAGGGAAGGACTACATCTGTGATTTAATTAGGGTTTCCATTCAGAAATTGAAATTCCCTCACCAAAGCAAGATCAGCAACTCGTGTATGATGTACAGTCTCAGAGATTTTCCTCAAGCACTGATATAATGACTTCTTCATGTTCATTCATTTGGTATCTGTCAGGGTCTGGACTTGAATCCAAATCTTCTGATTCCAAGGTTAGTTCCCTACTCTCACTGCCACATTGCCTTTGTTACTGTCACAATATTAAAATACAAATGGTGAATGACATTAAATAAAGAGAATGCTAAGTAATATGTTACTGAGTGGGATCTCACAACTTCTGATTGAATATATTTTCATGAATGCCTCCATAGTCTAGTTATAAAATATGAGACTGAGGAAAAGCATGTGTGGTGGTTTGAAATTCTTACCACATATTGTAAATTTAAATTGTCCATTTTCCCATAGCAAAGGTCGAGAAGCGTGACTGTCGGTTTAGTAAAGTTCTTCCTAAACATCAACCAGGGCAGAGCCAGTTCTGCGATGCCAGTAGCCTAATGAAGGAATGAAAACACTTTAAAAATCAATCACCTAGACTTAGGAACGACTGCGTCAAAACAACATGAATGTAAGAATTATCTGTGATAATGGGAGGAAGCAGAAGAAGGAATGATGCAAAATAGAACCCTAGAATCTCAAAACCAGGAGTGACCTCAGGTCATCTAAACCAACCCTATAGCTACATGGAAATCACCTCTGTAACATCCCTGACAAGTGGTCATCTGGCCTTTGCCTGAAGACCTCCAGTGAAAAGGGGGAAAGCCATTACTTCCTGAGACAGCTGAGTCTACTTCTAGATAACTTAATTATTGGGAAATTCTTTCTTACTTAGAAACTAAATTGCCTTCTATAATTTCTACCCATTCTTTCTGGTTCTGACATCTGGAGTCAAACAAAACAAGCCTAATCCCTTCTCCCACTTAACAGTCATGGGCACCCAGAAATTAACATAGTATTCTAAGTCTTGCTTGACCACACTAAGGGTAATTTCTAAGTCCTCTTTCTTTCTTCCTTTCTTTCTTTCTTTCTTTCTTTTTTCTTTCTTTCTTTCTTTCTTTCTTTCTTTCTTTCTCTCTCTGTCTCTGTCTCTCTGTCTCCCTGTCTCTCTGTTTTCTCTCTCTCTCTTTTTTCTCTCCCTCACTTGAAGAGGGGCTGACAGCTAGGTAGCACAGTGAATAGATTACCTGGCCTAGATTCAGGAACATAGTTCAAATCCAGTCTCAGACACTTACTAGCAGTGTGACCCTGGGCAAGTCACTTAATCCCTGTTGGTTTCAGTTTCTTCATCTGCAAAATGAGGATAACAATAGCACTTACCTCTCAAGGTTACAAAGCACTTAGCACAGTGACTGACATATAATAAGTGCTATGTCAATGTTAGCTATCATCACCATCATCCCTTTTTGGAATCTGAGATTACAATCTCCCTTCCTTGAAACTCTCAAAACTCAAAGCCTCTATTGGCTTTGAGACTAAAATCTTATCTGCTTTTCCTCTCTCCTGAATGTGCCTTCAATTTAAAAATGGAATTCAATAAACATCAGCTGTTTCTAGTATACATAACCATAGCACAGTGCCTATAGCATACCACTAAAAACAAAACAAAAACAAAAACAACAACAAAAAAAAACTCTGTCCTTGGAATGTACTAATTATTGTTTTGTTGTTTTTTAAAGCAATCTATCTTTTCAGTTATGTTGTGTTTAATATCAGAATTAGTTTATTCCCAGAACAGTAGAATTTCAGAAGCTATTGAACAACAGAATAAGATGCTATTCAGTGATGGGATTGAATTAACCTAGAATGCAAAATTGACTATGAGAAATCCTCAAAGTATACTGATTCCATGTGTGTGATTTAGAACTTATTTTATTAAGATAAGGAAAGATACTGTAGAATTTTTATAAAAGTTAACAACTGAAGTTGAGAAAGTTGAAATTCTTGTTTACTGTATTTTACAGTATACTTTCTTTCAAAATGTCATATTCAGTTGAACTTTCTGCAATACACCAACAATTAAATTGTTATTTTTTTTTTAAAGGCTACCTCCTATTCTTCAAGGATCTATCATTTAATCTTCTATGGCCTAGTACAAAGATTCTCAATCTAGAGTAGGTTATCCCTGAGGATACGAGAAGATGGGGAGTGGTTGTCAAATAACTATATTATCATATTGAAATTAATTAATATCTTTAATTTCTTATGTGCATATGCATGGAAAAACTATAACTTATGTCCTTTGAAATTAAACAGAAGACACAGGAATATTTACAGAAAGCAAAGGTTGTAGAGACTGAAAAAGGCTGGGAAAGTTACCTTAGTGTGTGATCTACATTAATTATTTTAATTGAAAACTTAATCACCCTGAGGCTAATATTTTAGTGATGAAATCCTCTGACCTTCGGTAGACAGGTCTCTAGGAGAGAAAGACATTCAGTACACAGCCAGACCTGTGCTTAAGACTTTTCCAAGGGATGTCTCAAAAAAGGTAGAAAACATGGTAAAACCTACTGTAGAAGGCTGGTGGTAGCATTAAAGTTAATATTATTATGTACAGAAACGTTTTAGAAGGGAATGCAAAAGTATTACGTACTAGGCGGCACACTGAATTTAGAGTCAGAAAGCATTAATTCAAATCCCAACTCTGGCATTTGATAAAACAAATTCATTACAATTAGAGAAATCCAAAAGTGGAACGGGCCACATCAGGAGGTCGTTGCAGCCTCCTTAAAGGCGGCCTTCAGCTTCAGGTTGGATGTATGCTCCCAGGGTATGTGGAAGAGAGGATTCTTGCCTATGTTTGGCATGACCTAGATCACCTATGAGATTTCTTCCAACTCTATGAATTGGTGATTAAGCAAATGCCAAATTCATGAAATGGGATAATAGTTGATAATCCTGACAAGGTGCAATAGTAGCATTATAGGCATTTGGAAACAGTACTAAATAGGAATCAGGGGATTTCAACTACATCTGTCATCATTCCTTGCCCAGGATAACACATTAAAGGTCCCAATTCATTTTTTTCTCTGCTTTAAATAGAAATAAAATCATTCAAGTCCCAGACACCCTAATAAAACAAAAAACAATTTCTTCTTTCCGTGCAACCAATGATAATCTCACTCTTAACTGACTTTCATAAAAGGAAATACATTCAGACCAATAATGCTTTTGGTGTAATCACAGTTTTATCTTAATACCAACATTTAGAAACTAAATCAATAGAAATGAAATAAAAAAGTCACTAAAAAAGATGAAAACTTTAAAGAAATAGAAATAAGTTTTGGAATGGATACATATTCTCCCTGGTAGAGAGAGAAAAGGAACAAGAAGGGGAAATAGGAAGCATAACCTTCAACTTTTTCAGCAAATGCAGAGTTCCAGTTCCTCCTGCATCAGCCCTAGGTGACTTGTACATAGTTTAACCTTCCTGCTCCAAACCCCAAACATGGTAACAGCAATGATGAGGCAGTAGCTACCCACAGAAGCTCTGCACAGAAACTCTGCCCATCTCTCCCACCTGTCACCCTTACAGCAGAGGGATTCCATCTTCTCTCAAGTGTGTTGCTTCATTCTCATCTCCCACAAGATTTTCAGCCTCTCCCTAACTCATGTAAGAAAAGAAAAATACATTTTGTTTTGTTTTTGTGACTATGATGTCACAGCTTTGCAGTTCCCAAAGATCAAATAATGAGAATCCCAGAATCCTTGGTCCTCTCACAGACAATGTTTTCAGTGATCTACTACAAAGGAAAAACTTCCTAACAATTAAGAGTTATAAAAAAGTGGAAGGGGCCTCCTTGGGTGGCAATGGATTCTCCCTTAAGACATGATTGGATGACCACTTGTTGGTTGAAAATAGTAAGAATTCTTTTATTAGTATGGCTGGACAAGGTGGCCTCCCTAAATTTTTCCACTTCTGAAATTCTATGATTCTGTACATCTGCTAAAAAAAAAATGACAAGGGATCCAGGTGAGCATTGTAACTTGATTCTATAATTAAGAAAAATTTAAAATCCAAAGTTATATGAGGCCATAATCCAGTAACAACTGACCTGATACAACTTTGGAAATATTAGGAAACAATAAAAACTAATGTTGGACCTTCATCCCAATTGCTGTCATTACAGAGAAATTCATTTAGTAAAATGGAAAGAACACTCACTGACTCTGGAGTCAGAGGACCTGGGTTTCAATCCTGCTGCTGATGCTTGCTGCCTGTGTCACCTTGCACAAGTCATTTAACATCCATGGGCCTCAGTTTCCACATCTGTTAAATGAGTGGGCTGGACTAGATGGACTAGAAGGCCTTTCTAGCTAGAGTTCTTTAATCCTATAAAAATTGCTTTGTTAAATTTTTTTTTTATTAAACCCACAAAGGACACCATGATGCACAGAAGTAAGTGAAGGAAGGGATTTTATTTGAAGATTTGAGCAATCTATGATAGCATTGACTTGAATAAAAAACTTAGAATAGTTGCTGTACTTCTGGACCAAATCTACCATCTGCCTTCTACATACCTCAATTTACTAGTAAGAGCATATACATATGAGAAATTCATTTTTCTCAACTTCCAATTTTTTTAGACAAAAGTGGGCCAGAAATCTGTCAATTTACAAAGAAAATGAGATAACACTAGCCACGTGGAATATACCACCTGAGTCTTTTATTCAAATGAATAAAGATATATCCAAAAAAGTTAAAGCTAACTATTACCATACTTAAAATCATTAAGATGGAGAACTGTCCTTATCTTAGATTTTATATATTAATAATTCCTTTCTCTGTTGTGTTAAACTTTAAATGTTCAAAATTTCAGCGAAGTATACAATCATAGCTACCACAGCACAGACAACTTACTCAACTAGTTAAAATGATATTACAATAGTGGAATTAAATGTTTTTCATCTAATTTGTATGTAAAGACAAGAAACTTTCTATAGTCTATACCTCTCTAGCTTATTTTCCTTGTTAATATATTGACCAAAAGTACATATTTCTGCCATAATAACACATTTCAACTAACCACACATATACTATTATAGTAATGAGAAACTTTTTTTTAAGTTAACCCAGTGCAACGTTATTACAAAGTTCATGTTATTACATCACTTTGGGCTCCATTCCATGATGAAACAGAAAGAGTATCACACCTCATAGCTCTAGTAACCATGGCAATTTTTCTGAAAATGTCAAGTTGCAAAACCACCTTGGGATTCTAGATGTATGGATAAGATCCACTTAAATGTTTTTCACATAGCTAAATATGTACATAATAAATGTAGGATGAGAAATGTAGGATGTAGCCCCTTCCTCTCCTCCTTCCCTGCTTGATAAATGAATTTCAGTACCCAATTGTGAGTATATACATATACATACATATACACACACACACATATATATGTATGTGTGCATGTATGTGTGTATGTGTATATATGTATATATACATACATATGTGTGTATATATATACATACATATGTGTGTGTGTGTGT